GTAGTGGTTACAAATCAGGCTGTGAACCACAGGGTCTGCAGTTTGAAACTACCAGCTGCTCCATTGGAGAAAGGTAAGGCTTTCTGCTCCTGTAAAGATTTACAGCCTCAGAAATCCTGTTCAGGGTCGCTATGGGTCAGAACAGACTTGACAGCACTTAACAACAACAACAACAACAACAACCCAAGGATTATCTGACTCTCTTGGGCCCAAAGTCTGTGAAGTTTCATGCTAACTTGTAGAAGACTTATAAGTTATAAGTGATTTTTGCCAATAAATATGCAAATGATTTCTATCTAGAGAATCTCAAAGTTATCACTTGTTGTCCTATAAGATGTTAACCAGTTTTGTATCTGACTTAGTATTCGGATTCTAGCATTCCTTTTTTTCTGTGATTATACATGCTTTTGGAATAGCTTTGAAATAGCTTTACAACCCTCAGTAATGAGTTTAGAAATCTTTGACATGTGTATACCAAATATTGGTATGAGTCATGTTTTTAACTTTTTTAAAATTATATTTCAATATCCAGCTTTGTAACCATCATTTTAATAGCTCCATAAAATAGCATTTTAAAGTGTCTGTCATTTACTTAACTATTACCTTATTCAACATATAGAACATTTCTGATTCTGTATCAATATAAATAACTTTGCAATGAGTATCTTTGAGCATAAAACGCTTTCTGTATTTTGCATTTGTTGTTTTTGAGTAGATCTTCCAGTTCAGAATTGATGGGTCAAAGGGCTTAAACATTTTTATGATTAACAACATGGGAAATTGTCAAATAGATAAAGAATGGAAGGACATTCCAGGTGGCAAAAGCAGTTTGCACAAAAAGGCAGGTGGCCACTGTATCAATCTGGTGAGAGGACTAACTGGCTAGTATGTGAGTACATGTCCCAGGAGGACAGACACCAGATTATTTACTGAGTGAACAGAGCAGCCATTGATCATGTAAGCTGAGAAGTGGCGTGGTAAGACCTTTGTTTTAGAAAGACAACTCTAGATCCATTTGTTGCTTTGGGACAGGGCTCTGGCGGGTTCTTTGGGTAGATGCTACCCGCATCTTCACCGCGGCCTTTTGGCTTCAGGCCTTCGCAGTCGCCTGACCACCGAAGGCGGACTTAGATCACCCTTGTAAGTCAGCATGTGTATAATTTTCAAAGACTATGACCCACAACTAATATAGGACTGAGATCCCCAATGATATATACTGACAGTAATCTCTTTAAAGCTGGAAATTATTTTGGACTTTTTTGATCTCGCCACTGTGGGCGAATGTTGTGGTGTGAAGATGTGTGTGCTGTGGGGGCCAATCTGTGTTCTCATTTTGTGTTTTTTTTTTGTGTTTTTTTTTTGCCGTGGGACATTTTTTTAGGGGCGGATCTCACTCTCTGTGGGGTGTGTTCCTTTGGAGACAATGATAAAATTCAACAGGTTAAACCGTCTAACAACAGACTTTAATATAATAATAGAAGCATTGAGTAAATCAAAAGTAGAACTCATGGAAATAAGTGATGATAAAACTAAAATCAAAAGATCTCCAAGCAAACCCCTCCCTGAAGTGATGGATGAGTATAAAAATGATGTGAAAAACAGAACTGTTTATATTAAAGGCTTCCCAACTGATGCAACCCTTGATAACATAAAAGAATGGTTAGAAGATAAAGGTCAAGTTCTAAATATTCAGATGAGAAGAACATTGCACAGAACATTTAAGGGATCAATATTTGTTGTGTTTGAAAACATTGAATCTGCTAAGAAGTTTGTAGAGACTGGCCAGAAGTACAAAGAGACAGACCTGCTAATACTTTTCAAGGAAGATTACTTTGCAAAAAAGAATGAAGAAAGAAAGCAAAATAAAGTGGAAGCTAAATTACGAGCTAACCAAGAGCAAGAAGAAAAACAGAAGTTAGCAGAAGATGCTGAAATGAAATCTCTAGAAGAAAAGATGGGCTTTTTACTGAAATTTTTGGGTGATTTAGACGATCAGACTTGTAGAGAAGATTTGCACAGCCTATTCTCTGATCATGGAGAAATCAAGTGGATAGACTTTGTCAGAGGAGCAAAAGAGGGAGTAATTCTGTTTAAAGAAAAAGCTAAAGAAGTATTGGATAAAGCCAAGGATGCAAGTAACGGTAACCTACAATTAAAGACCAAAGAAGTGACCTGGGAAGTACTAGAAGGAGCGGTAGAAAAAGCAGCCTTGAAAAAAATTATGGAAGATCAACAAGAATCTCTAAACAAATGGAAGTCAAAAGGTCGCAAATTTAAAGGAAAAGGAAAGGGAAATAAAGTTGCCCAGGCGGGGTCTGCTAAAGGAAAAATACAGTTTCAGGGAAAGAAAACTAAATTTGATAGTGATGATGAATGTGATAAAAACGGTGCAGCTGGACCAGTGAAAAGAGCAAGAGAAGAGCCAGAGAGAGAAGAGCCTGCCTCACAACAACAGAAAACAGAAAATGGTACAGGAGACCAGTAGTTTCGTGTAAACATTTTAGAATTCATTTTATTTAGGTTTGAATCTACTTTTCTCTCTGGATTTTCAAAAAGAAAATCGAATTAGGTCCACTTCAATGTCCACCTGTAAAAAAGAAAAAACTTTTGTTGTTTTGTCTTTTTTGTTATTAAATGTTTTTAAATGTATAACTGTTATCAATGATTCAAAAGGAAGATTCTTCCACTAAATTACATTTTTAATACGAGAATATATTAGTATAAACTTTAATAAAATATATGCTATATAAAAAAGCAAGGAGTTTTTTTCCCCCCAACTTTTTGTTTTTGTGCCTAAAGCACTAAAGAATTTGTTATCTTAAACCAGAAAAAACAGAAAGACAACTCTAACCACTAGGCACAACACTGAGGCTCTCAACACTGATACTGGTGAAAAAGGAATAGACTTGAACTAGGACAATAGGACTGAAGAGGAAACAAGAGGATGGAGAGAAAGGGTGCTTAGAAAAGAACAAGGGCTTGACCAGGAGCACCCAACTTGTTCTAGGTGGAAAGGAGGCCTTGACTCTCCATGTAGTTGATGCTGCTGGCTGGTGGGCTTTTATCTGAGCAGTACCTTCTCAGAACTGCAGGCTGCTCACATTCTTACCCACAGATGGGCTTATTATAGTCATGATGTGAGGGATCCAGTTCTGCCAAAGCATAAAGCATATGTCCAAGAAGATGAATGGCATCACTAAAAATAATAAAAGATTAAGCACACATTCCAGGCAAGTGAGAGGGCATTCCTACAGAATTTACTAGACTAAACTGTAGCACATAATCTGTCTCTGTATCCATAAACCCAGACCTCCAACGTAGCTTTGCCAGACTGTAGATACTCTGAAGCAGGCAGTGTCCCTGATCTTCCCTTTCAGACCCCCATTTCACCGAGGAGGAAACAGAGTTGCGCCTGAGTTGCCTAGGACTCCACTGATGGAAACTGACTTGGGTGGTGCAAACGGTCAGCTCAAGAACAACTGTTTGCTACCTCTGAATGTTTTCTCTTGGTCATAGAGCCTCATAGTTCATCTGAACCAAACATCATGAGAGATTCTGAATGTGGAAGGTGATTTGATTTACAGTTTTTTAGGGAGAAGAATCCAAAGACATGAAACTGTCAATCCTTAAAGACAGGACTCTCTCATCTAAACCTGACAGAAAATGGGGGGCTTAAGATGACAGACTTTAGAGGCTGCTACTGTCCCACCATCACCCACCTCCACACATTTCCTCTCTCAGGGTTGCAGACTCTTTATAATAGAATAACCCCAAATTAGGACTTACCTCAGTGCCTATCACTATGAGAATACAAAAACAAACCATGTTGTGTTCACACTATGGAATATTGTAAGTCAGTGGGAATGAGTCCAATGCTGCATGGATGAATCCCTCAAACGTTAGGCTGCGAGAAAGAAACCCGACATGGGACTCCATACAGTGTCATTCCTTCCATTTAGACCAAGGACAGAAACAGGTGCAGCTGGTCTAGGCTGTTAGAGATTAGGACAGTGATTGCCGTTGGTGAGCGTTGTGCCTGGAGAGGGTGGGGTGCGGAGGACTTCCAGGAGCGACTCATATTCTGTGTTTCTTTATGGGTCACTGGCTACACAGGTGCATTCAGTATGGAAATTCATTGAACTATAGACTTAGGATATGCGCACTTCTCTGAATGTGCAGTTGCCATCAAGTCGATTCCAACTTAGGGTAACCCTGTGTGTGTCAGAGTAGAACTGAGCACCATAGTGTTTTCAGTGACTTGAGTTTTCACAAATAGGTTACCAGGCTGTTCTTTCCAGGCTCCTCTGGTTGGGTTTGAACCACCAACCTTTCCATCAGCAGCCCAGTATATTAACTGTTTGCACCACGCAAGGACTCCATATGTGTATCTAAATAGAGTTCAACAAAGTAATATTTTAAAATTAAAAAGTATCCAACTAGACACAACCTCAAAACGCTCTCCCTGCCAGCAGAGATATTGGTGGTGATAAGCACAACTCCCATATCTCCAGGGTGGACTCTGCCAGTTACTGGGCTGCGGCCCTACGTTTATCATCCCTTTAAAGCCTCCCAACATTGCAGATGAGAAAACTTAAGTTCAGAGAGGCAAAGTCCCTTGCCCCAGGTCACACATGTTGTGAGTACGTGCTGCAAAGAGGTCTCTGTTTCCTTTCCCAGAAAAGGGACGCCTGTGTTCTGGGCCAGCTCTTTTCATTTGTCCTCACATCGAAAGGAATTGCTCCAGCCTTATCTGATTTCCCTTGAAATGATGTGTCAGGATTCAGTATCTGCAGGAGGTGAAACCGTGGCAACGTCATGGGTGACTACACACACACCCTCCTATCCCAGCTGTGGGAATGGAGGCAGTGAGAGAGCCTGGGTTAGAGAGAGCCACAGTTTCTCTCTTTATTACTGAGGAGTAACATCAGGCCCTCATGGACTGCATCATGCTATGGGCACTTCCATTTGGGAAACATTTTCACCCTTGCATTGCCTCCTAGGTGGTCTTCGAGGCCTTACACAACCTGGAGCCCCGTGGCTACGTCGTGGGCTGGATCATTGCCATCAGTTTGCTGGTGGGAATCCTTATCTTCTTGTTGCTGGCTGTGCTGCTCTGGAAGGTAAGTCTGGCCATCTCTGGTCCTAGCCATTGTCTCTATGGGTGCCCAGCTCTCCTGCCTCATCAGGATTGGAGCACCTTGGAAGAGGTTTCCTGTTGGGATATTCCTTCCTGGTATAGGTACAGGGAAGGAAGGTGTCCCATTCAGGCTTGGAGTAGAATCTTGGCCCCTCTTGAAGCCGTTCACACAGGTGAGGATTGTGTTATTTAAGAGGTAACAAAGTCTCACGTTTCTTACCATCCCTAACAGAATTACCACCAATTCTAATACTGGATACTGGGAGCCTAGCTCCATAGCTGAAGCTGAAGCTGTAACAGCTGGGAGTGTGGTGGTTTGCATTTACTCTACAGAAAGAACAAGAAAAGGAAGCAGAGAAATCTCAGAAAGAGTTCTGCCGAGAAGAATGACAAGCTTGGAGTATCACTTGAGTAGCTCCATCCTGCATTCTTCCAACCCTCTGGTAGCTAAGTTGTAGGTGACCCTGGGTACCTGCCCCTGCCTCCTTCACCATCCTTCATGTCTTGTCCCCAAACTTCACTTCCCTAAGGAAGTGTCCTCACCCCAAGTCCAGGATGGTGTGTCAGCCTCACAGTCTCCTCTCCTCTCAGAGATCTGGGATCCTTTTACTCCAGAGTCCTTATAGGAGGGGCTTTCAAAATGTGAAAAATGGAACTAAAAGAGAATGGAATTTTCCATGAACTTTTTGAAGCCCCTTTGTATTCATTGACACTGCTGCAGCAACAGCACCTGTTGAAGGTCTGTTTCCTCCACTGGACCACAGTGTTCCAGGTATGTGGGAATCAGTGTGTTTGTTTCTTCCATCTCCCAGTTTCTAGAACAGCTGGGAGTGTAGACATACCTAGGACACAGTGTCTGCTTTTTCTGTGTTCCCGGGCTTCAGATGGAAATTGCCTCTTTATTATGGATGGGTATTTTAAATTCAAATAATTGATTCCTTTTAGATTAGAAAATAATGTGTGTCGATTGATGAAATATGAGACTATAGCAATAAAAAAAGAAGTCCACAACTCAGGCATAACCCTTGTGATCACAGTTTTGGGTCTCTTCTTGATGTTCTCTTCATGGGAGAGACCAGGTATTCGCATGTTCTTGTTGCTGTTAAGTGCCCTGCAGTTGGTTCCAACTCATAGCTACCCTGTATCGGCTTCCCAAGAGGTGACTGGTGGATTTGAACAGCCAACCTTGGGTTTAACACTCCAGTGCTTATCCTCTGGACTGCCAACCCCAAAACGGGCAGTCTGAGTACACCAGCTGCTTTGTGGGAGAAAATTGAGACTTTCTGCTCCCACAAAAATGTATAGCCTCAGAAACCCAATTATGGTGGTGGTTGTATGCCATCGAGTCAGTTCCAGTTCATAGCGACCTTGTATAGGGTTTCCAAGGCTATAAATCTCTGGGGGAGCAGACAGCCTCATCTTTTTCCCATGGAGTGCCTGGTGGACTCGAACTGTTGACCTTGCAGTTAGCAGTCCAACACATAGCCCGCTACAATACAAGAAACTCTGTGTAGGATCTCTCTGAGTCAGAATCACCTTGATGGCTGTAGGTTTGGTTTGGGAGTTATGTGAATTCTATTTTCCAGTAATATACTTTCAATAGCATACCTTTAAATTGAGAACATCAAGTCTAATTATTAATCGGAGAAAGAGGTATAATAGTACACTTCATGGTGTCTGAAAACAGAAAATCGTGTTTAGTGTACATTTGTCAGATTCACTGTTTGACTGATCACTTTTCATTTAGAAATACTTCACCTGAAAAGGTGTTGGGAGTTAGAAAATATTAAGCATTTCGTTTGACTATAAGCTTATGTTCTGCAGCTTTTTGGATATCATACGTGCTTTTTTGCCATCTATTTTTTGCTGAACACAGGCTGTAGACAATATCCCATATTGTGAAAACCCATTGCCAGCATTGTCTTAAGGTAACATGGCATCATTTTCTCTGCTGTTTTCTCATTTGTGGTTGTTCTTGATTCATACTTCTTCTAGCAGGCCTTCATTGGCCATCCTCGAAGCCAAATCTCTGTACAAATCTTTCATCGTGTCCTTAGGATGAGACCCTAGATATGGAATTACCTAGTCAAAATGAGTGCATATTTTAGGCCTTGTAAACATATATTGCCGACTGCCATTTAAAACGATGCTACCGATTCACCCTCCCATCTCAGTGAATCGAATGGGCCAGTTTTCCTGTGTATCTGTCAACTTGTTGCTTATTTCATCTGATGGAGTCTTACTTCTCCCTCCTCTTGTCTCTGCTCTCCCCCATATCCTTTCTGCTCAGGCTGTGTGTGGGGACCAGCCCAGCACATGGTTTGGAATCTGAAATGATAGTAGTATGTGTGTGTGTGTGTGTGTGTGTTTCCGTCTGCCTTTATTCGAGGTGATGCCATCTTCATGGCTGGATATGTGGGACCAGGCAGGGACACAGAATTGGGGGCATGGTAGCCATGTGCTCCTCTGGGCACCCTTTCAGGAGTCTTCCATCTCCATTGCCCATACTCCAGACTCTTTCCCTAGACATCTGTTTAGCGAGAGTACAGTTGCTGCAGATGGCTGTCATCATGTGGCCAAGACTCTAAGGCAGGAGTGGGGAACCTTTTTAATGTCAAAATGTATAGTATCATTTGTGGGCCACACAAAGTTATTAACTTGAAAATTAGCCTGCTATTTTTGGTCAAGCATTTCATTAACTCACCCCTAATGTGATGGCTAGAACTGCAATTGCCTTAGCGGGGTCAGACCAAAGGATTTCGCTGGTCTTATACGGAGTCCTGGTGTGGTGCTGTAGAATAAGCACTTGACTGCGATGTCTCTTTGAATCACAGTGTCTGTGGTTCAAATCCACTAGCTGCTCCTTGGAAACCCTATACAGGGTCACTGTGAGTCGGAGCCAACTCAGTGGCACTGACCAACAACCGCATACGGCCCATGGGCCGGATATTCTCCACCTCTGCTCTAAGGTCACCCAGGTGTGAATCATAGAGCCAAGACTACCCCTCCAGGGGCAGACATTGCCCTTGACCCAGGGTCTCGGGGAGAGAGCAGGATTGTACAGTCAATGGGCACACCTTGTGTTTTAACCCAGACAAAGTCTTGCCAAAACTAAAGACATAGAAGAAGTAGGTCCAGAGAAGCTTTGGGGGCATTGATGAATGATGAAAATAGCTTTGCTGATCACCCAAGAGCAATATTGCATGTCAATTTACATTTATCAAACACTGGGCTAGACACTAGGATGTAACAATGAGCCCTTGGGCATCCTCCCAGCTAGCACACAGCCTAACCAAGAAGGATGACTGTTGTGTGGCCATTGATCTGGAAACTGAAAAGGTGGTGGAGCCATTAATGTGCCCGCTAAAGGCCACAGAGTCCAGTGTAGACAGAGACCACGGCTCTGGAGGCTGCCAAGGATGGTCGGAATGCTGGCTCTGGCACCTGTCTGGGTGGTGGCCTTGGGAAAGTGGCTCACCCTCCTGTGTAAAATAGAGACCATATCTAGGTAGTTATTTAGAGGTGGCATGAGCAAACTGCCCAGCACTCCATTCTGTGCGCTCTTTGCACACAGAAACTCCCTAGAAAAGTCTGGTGATATTTCACAAACGAGGTGTCAGTCATTAGAGTCTCGTGCTGGGATTTGAGTCTTCTAAGCAGTGAAGGGCTGATGGAGTTATCATTCAGAGAGAACAGAGCTAAGAAGACACGTATGGCCTATGGGGCAGCTTGTGAGATCGTTGAGTGAGACAGTCCAGTGCATAGAAACCTGAGAAGAATACTTCGAAAGTCCAACCTGATATTTGACTTACATGGAGATGCATGATGGTTCTTGCATAGTGCCATATTTCATATATAATTCCTTTCAAAAGTTGCCACTGCTGACCAGGGAACACTCATTGAGGACATTTGAAGATTGGTGGACAATGTTCAAGTCCTCTTCCCTTTATTGAGTGGCCACATCTTTCCAGTTGCCTGGTCAGAGTAGCTCTCCATATCACTACAAACTAGGGTTGCCTGCCACGGCCTCATGGCTGTTCCCCAAATCGTGCCATAAACATGAAATATTACGTGGTACTGAAAACTGAACGCAGCAGCTTGCGTGCTGATGTGGACTTAGTGCTCCAGAGGCTTTTGCACCAGCATGCTCTACGCTGGCAAGGTGGTCGGTGCCTTCACTCTGCAGATGGCATCGGGCTCATGCTAGGGGCATAAATGGATCAGTAACTGAGCCGTCAATGATCGGGTTAGAGGCTGAACCCTGAGGGGTTAGCAGGACTTGGCCAGGTGAAGGGCAACTGTCCTACCAGCTGCTGGCCTCCCTGCAGTGATCTGTGGTGCTGCTAAGAAGCCAGTTGCTGTGGCGTTGATTCTGAGTCATGGCGCCCCCATGTGGTTTAGAGTAAAACTCCATCAGACTTTCAGTGGCTGTGACCTTCAGAAGCAGATCTTTAGGTCTTTCTTCCTCTGGGTGGGTTCAAATCGCCAACCTTTTGGTTAGTTGTTATTGTTAAGTGCCATTGAATTGATTCCGGCCCATAGCAACCCTGTATAGGGTTTCCAAGGAGCGACTGGTGAGCTTGAACCACCGGCCTTGCAGTTCAAACGGCTTTTCAGTCTGGTGCATAGCCCAGTGCTTAAGTGTTTGAGCCACCCAGTGACTATGGCTAGTCTACTAACACACCCATAATCAACTGTTGACACAAGACAGAACCCCCTGTAAGCTTAGTAAATGCCTTTTCCAGAGCTGAGCTCCAGGCTCGCTGCCTCCTCCCTTGCCTCTGACTCTGTGGCTCCCCCGGGGACCTTCCAGAAGGCCCATCCACTGGCATCTCGGGCGTCTCTCATGCTTGGCGGCAGCAGGTCCTGGCTTCAGCACAAAATCCACAACGCGGGCCCCAAGCTAACCAGACACTCTTTCAAATACTGAAATGGATCCTAATCAGCTTTCCCAAAGCCAGGATGTCAGCAGACACTGGGAGC